GAGGTGGCGAAATATACGCTAGAATACAGGACGAGATTCGACAACAGCGCAAGAGAGGGGTCTTCCCCTAGGGAGACGGGCAGTCAGTCCCATGGGGAGAGGAGATGCCAGTTTTAAAGGCCGGGACCCAGCCCTCCCCAAGCGCTGCCCCTCTGCGTAGACCACCCTATTGTACTCAGCACAGACAGCGGTTGGGAAAGGGGGGGACTCGCAGCCCCAACCTCTCTGCCCCCCCGTGCTGCCACCCAGCGCCCTGCAGAACAAGTGGGTGTTCCTGGCCACCTTCGCGGCCGTGCTGGGCAACTTCAGCTTCGGCTACGCCCTGGTCTACACGTCCCCTGTCATCCCGGCCCTGGAGCGCTCCCTGGATCCAAACCTGAGTCTGACCAAAACCCAGGCCTCCTGGTTCGGGGTAAGGGCCGCACTTTGAGCTCCTAGAGGCGGGACAGGGGGTGGAGGGACCCCCTGGGCTCTGTCCCCAGCTAGGGGACACTCAGCCTTAGAGCCCCTCCAGGGCCCTGGTCAGGCCTTTGCCACACCCTCCAGGCTGGGGGTGGAGGGAGTGATGCCCAGTGGTGCCTCTAAAATAAAAGGAGGAAGTGAGACAGTGGAGAAGGCGTGGGAAGGGCAGGTGGGGAGGCGGCCTTAAAGTCTCCACCCTGTGGGTTGAGGGCTCCCAGACCCCACCCCCTCGGAGCCGGGCTGTCACAGCAGGGCAGACAGCACATTCGCTAAGATAGCACATCCATGGGGTACGGAGCCACCTACTATGTGCCAGGTGCATGCTGGGCACTTGCCCTGAGAGCTGGTTGACTCCAGGGCAACCCCCTGAGGGGGCTGCCATCACTCTCCCCATCATGAGCGAAGAAGCTCGGACAGACTGAGCAGCAGACTGAGTGCCCGCCTCACTGACCGGGCCCCACTCACTGCTTAGGGGGAACCCAAGGACCCCCGAACCTTAAAATCCCAGGGGCTTCCGACCCAGAACCCTCCTGTCTGCTCCATTCCAGTTTTAGACATTGACACGCCCGGCTGGACGGCACCGCTGTGGCCCGTGCCCCCTCCTCCCCAGAGCAGGGCTCCCTGTGGCGGGCTCCTAGCAAATGGCCGTCCACATGCTGCTTGTGCGCCTCTGGCGCCGGGAGGCTCACTGCCCTTCAGGGCCTGAGTCCCACAGAAGCAGCTGTCTCTGGGCCCCGATGGGGGGGGCGGGGATGCGGTGCCCAACCACGCCTGCCCGCCTTCTCTCCAGTCCGTGTTCACCTTGGGCGCCGCGGCCGGGGGCCTCAGTGCCATGGTCCTCAACGACCTGCTGGGCCGGAAGCTGAGCATCATGTTCTCGGCGGTGCCCTCGGTGGCCGGCTACGCGCTCATGGCGGGCGCCCGTGCCTTCTGGATGCTGCTGCTGGGCAGGACCCTGACGGGCTTCGCGGGAGGGCTCACGGCTGCCTGCATCCCGGTAAGGCCGGGCGGGCCCCAGGCCCCCTTGCAGCCCCGTGTTGTGCCGAGCACCGGCCGACAAGGGCTCCCGGCCGGCCTCCAGGCCCCTCCCCCCCCCCCCCCACCGCCCGGTCAATGGGGTTGTGTTTGCAGCTCATTCAGGGCCCTCTGTCCTCATGTCCCCAGCTTCCCCCACTCGGACTCCCCAAACTTCCTACCCTGTTTCCTGACAGTCAAACAAGTTACTCAATTAGAGAAAATCTACATTGAGCAACAGGGAGGAAAGGGAAGTCCCTGCCCTGTCCCCCAAGTCTCACCCACCACTCCCTACACACCCACTAGGGGCTGGGCCCGCCCAGCAGGGGAGCAGAGACGGGATCTCACACTCCCCGTTTCAGAGCTGAGTGCTTCTGCCCCCCTGACAGTTAGGGAAACTGAGGCCCAGGGGAGGTCATGAGGTGAGTCACGATCAGGACGAGGGACCCACAGGAAACCCCACCCCCCTCTTTGCAAAGATCGCCACCCCGGCCGCCTGGGCCAGGCCTGCGTCCTCACCACAGACCGGTGGGGGGTCTTGCAGGTGTACCTGTCAGAGATTGCTCCGCCCGGCGTCCGAGGGACTCTGGGGGCCACGCCCCAGCTCATGGCCGTGTTCGGGTCGCTGTCTCTCTATGCGCTTGGTAAGACAAGCGCTCAGCACCTCCTTGTGCAGGATGGGGGGGGGGGCCTGAGCCCACGTGGTGGGAAGGGAAGCGATGTGCCCCCAGATGAGCTGCAGGCTGGGAGGGGAGACACCTGGCTTCCCGGCCGCACCGCACAGTGTACCCCAGGCAGCTCCCTGCCCCTCTGGTCACCAGACCCCCCTACCTGGGCGGGGGCAGCTCTGGGCCAGCAGTCTCGGTGGGAGATCCACATAGAAGGGGGATCAGGGCAGCTGGCTGAGGCCAGGAAGGGGTGGGGGTGGAGGCCCGGCTCTTGCTTGCTCAGGCCACCCCTCCATCGCCCCGCTGTGGCCTTGAGACCCTCCAGGGCCCTGGGTCAGGGGCCAGGCCGTCCCTGGGGCCCCTCCTGGTCTAGAACACAGAGGCCTGGGCTGATGGGGCAGATGCCCATAGGAGGTGGCGCTGGGAGTAGCCTTGAGGGCAGGTGAGGTTGCTCGGAGCCCAGGGGAGCGGCTCCGCGTCCAGCCGGACCCCAGCTCCTCCCTCCCCCCCGCAGGCCTCCTGCTGCCGTGGCGCTGGCTGGCCGTGGCCGGGGAGGGGCCCGTGGTCCTCATGATCCTGCTGCTCAGCTTCATGCCCAACTCGCCGCGCTTCCTGCTGTCCCGGGGCCGCGATGCCGAGGCCCTGCAGGCGCTGGCCTGGCTGCGCGGGGGCCAGGCCGACATCCGCTGGGAGTTCCAGCAGATCCAGGACAACGTGCAGAGACAGGTGCAGGGACGGGGGGGGTGGGGGGGGGCCGGTGGAAGGCGCCCGCCCACACCCACCTCTGGCGCCCACAGCCGTGTGGCCGCAGCCTCTCTGAGCCTCGCTGGCTTTTCCCGGAATCTGGGTTACCAGTGTTCCCGCCTCCACCTGACCCGGAGCCCACGCTCGTGTGGGGGATGCCTAGGGACGCGGAAAGCCTGCCACGCAGGCGTCTGCCCTGACCCACCGCTGGTCCAGGAGCCGGGGGTCCGGGCAGGGGTCCCCCAGCCTGCCCCCTGGCCTGGGTTGTTTCCCCGAGGAGGGAAGCAGGGAGTCCCCCCCAGCTCCATGCAGCCCAGGGCAGGCGGCACCGCTGGAGGGGCTGGCCCTGCCCCCTGAGCAGCGCTTGTGTCTCCAGAGCAGCCGCATGTCATGGGCCGAGGCCCGGGACCCCCACATGTACCGCCCGATCACCATCGCCGTGCTCATGCGCTTCCTGCAGCAGCTGACGGGCATCACGCCCGTGCTGGTCTACCTGCAGCCCATCTTCACCCGCACCGCCGTCCTGCTGGTGAGCACGGCCCAGCGCCCCCACCCGGCGCCCGCTCGCCCCACCTAGACCTGCAGTGCTGCATGTGGGCTCGCGTGCAGGCGGAGGCCTCCTGGGCTGGTAACTGATTCCGTGCATACACCCGTTCTCAGAGTAACGTTTGCGAGTAGAGCTTACAGGTTTAAAGAAGGGTCCCGGATGACAGAGAAAACCAGTGTCAGGGCTGTGCAGACCTCTGGGCATGGAGCACAGGCTCACAGTGTCCGCCTCTGGCCTCGGGGCCACGTGCCCCAGGCCCAGGCGGCCTCTGCAGAGGGAGATAACAGAGCCGGGCTTCACTGCCGGCCCCGGGCGCAGAGGGGATGAGATCTGAAGATTAGTGAAGCCAGTCCCCCCCGGCATTGTCCCGCCTGGGTCCTGCGCCCCTGCCCGGGAGGCCCCCAAGCCAGGGCGGGGGCCAGAGAAAGGGCCTGGCACGTAGTAGGTGCTCAGCGGCTCCATGCTCCCAGGAGCTGGGGTCAGGGTGTGGGGCCTGAGCACCCTGAGTGCGTTGGGGGGTGGGGGGCGGCGGGGCAGGAAAGCAGGCCGGGTTCCTCAGCCCATGGCCTCCTCCCTGCAGCCCCCGCAGGATGACGCCGCCATTGTGGGCGCCGTGAGGCTCTTTGCGGTGATGATCGCGGCCCTCACCATGGACCGGGCCGGCCGCAAGGTCCTGCTCTTCGTCTCAGGTGAGCCCCCACCCCCGCCGGCGGCTGCCAGGGGTTGTGTCCCACAAGGTGGGAGCCGTGTGGCTGGGCTCCAGGGGCTTGGGTGGGACCTGCCCTGGTGGCCCCTGCCTCACACCCGGGCACAGGGCCTGGCACACACCGGCTGCCCCAGAGGTCTGCTGGGCTCCTGGGAGCGAACAGCCCGCTGGCACAGCGTGTGGGTGTGGTGGACGCCCGAACACGGGGGAGCTGCCAGTCTGGAAGTGACCCGTCCCCGTGGGCTGTGATGGCGCCGGAGGAGATGGGGCCACAGGGGTGGCTCCGTGGAAGGGGCTCCCAGGAGCCGCGGCTCAGAGGGTCCTGGCCCCGAGGGCCGCCGGTCCGCCCACAGCCTCCATCATGTTTGCTGCCAACGTGACACTGGGGCTGTACATCCACTTCGGCCCCAAGCCTGTGGCCCCCAACAACACCGTGGGCCTCGAGAGCGTGCCCTTGGGGGGCACAGAGCAGCCCCTGGCCACACCCACCAGCTTCCTCACCCTAGTGCCCCTGCTGGCCACCATGCTCTTCATCACGGGTAGGTGTGGCGGTTGGGGCTGGGGGCTGCCGGCCCAGGAGGGAGGGCTGTCATGGGGGTGGGGTGGGGGGGTGGCTGTGTCGTGGGCAGGGCACTGCTGTCCTGGGTGGTCGGGTGACTGGGGAGGGGTCTCTCAGCAGCTCAGGCCTGAGCTGTCCCCCTGCCCCCCTGCACAGGCTACGCCATGGGCTGGGGGCCCATCACGTGGCTCCTCATGTCTGAGATCCTGCCGCTGCGGGCCCGCGGCGTGGCCTCGGGGCTCTGCGTGCTGGTCAGCTGGCTGACCGCCTTCGCCCTCACCAAGTCCTTCCTGCTGGTGGTGGTGAGTGCCCCTGCCAGGGGCTGTGCTGAGGGCTTCTCCACCGCGCCCTCCAAGAGCAGCGCCCGCCCCTCCACACTGCGGCCCACGTGGCAGGGACAGCTAACGGTCGGGACAGAGGACAGTGGGCTGGGAGCTGTGCTGGAAAGTCAGCTGACCTCCCGCCAGGAAGCCACACCCACTCGCTCTGTCACCCTCCCGGGCCGCTGGGCCTGTCTGGGCAGTCTGAGTCTCAGCAGTGTGCCCTCCTGGCCAGCCACACGTGGCATCCTGCATGCCACACACAGGGCGCCCACCTGGCTTAACCCCCCCATGGGTTCCCAGCCGGGCAGGCCCTGATGCCAGTGGAATCTGAGCCCCAGTGCCCGGCAGAGTCTGATGGGGCAGCTCTGGCGGTGCTACCCAGGGCCAGGCAGGGCTGGGCCCAGAATGGGTGAGAGGGCTGGGAGGCAGGTGTGCCAGCCCCGGCAGAGGCATAGATGGGCACAGGGCAGGAAGGGAGGCTGGGGCCCAGGAGCGCAGGCGCAAGCTCCCAGGCTTCCTGCAGGCAGGGGCATGAGCAGCTGAGACGAATAAGAGCGGCACTGGGTGGGGAGGGGTGCCGGGGGGAGGCTGAGGCCAGAGGGCCCGGGCGGGAAGGACATCCCAGGCCCGCATAGAGGAAGGCTGGGGGCAGGCCTCCGGGGCCTCGAGTGCCACCTAAGGCCCTAGAACTCAGGCTGCGGGCAGGGGGGAGCCCCAGGTATCTGAGCGAAGAGCAGATGGAGGCCCCCCTAGCAGGGCAGGAAGCTCACGCGGGGGTGTAGGGTCCTCGGTGCCATGTGACCGGCCCCTCTCCGCCCCCAGAACGCCTTCGGCCTGCAGGTGCCTTTCTTCTTCTTCGCCGCCATCTGCTTGCTGAACCTGGTGTTCACCGGCTGCTGCGTGCCCGAGACCAAGGGCCGCTCGCTGGAGCAGATCGAGTCCTTCTTCCGGACCGGGAGGAGGTCCTTCCTGCAGTAGGTCAGCGCCCCGCCTGGGGCCGCACCCTGGCGGCCAGGCCTTCGTGTCGGCCACCAACCGGAACCCCGAGTCCAGGAGGGAGCAACCTGCCACCAGCCGGAGACAGCACGGCCGGCAGCACTGATCCCCAGGGCGCGCCTCCTGGCACCCGACAGCCAGCAGCACCGGCCGCCCACACATCGGCCAGGACCCACCGGCAGAGGAGGCAGCCATGCGCCGCAGGGGAGCACGCGCCCAGGGGAGCACCGCCCAGGACTGGGGGCCTCAGGCCACACTGGGCAACCTCAGGCCGAGTTGCCTACCCACCCACGGAGGCCGCGATGAGGACAGACGGCTGGAGGCAGAGGAGTGGCTCCGAGCACCTGGCTGCCACCCAGCACCTGGGCATGGGGAGGAAGGCGGAAAGCTGCACCCGAGGGCTGGGCGACACCACGGGCAGCGCTCCGCACTCCCGCAAGCCAGGGCACTGGACCCAGCACAAACACTAACTCCGCACCGTCCCGACGCCTGGGAACCGAGGGCTCTGGAGTGCTCGTCTGCAAGCCGTGTGCCCACTTATGAAAATAAAGAAATTGAGCTGTGACCCTGCCGTGAAGGAGCCCTGGTCGGGGAGCCCCCTACAGCCCGGTTAGACATTTTCAGCCAAGGGTGCCAGGGCCTGCGGTCCCAGGTGGGCCCCCTTATGGCAGCCCCCCCCCCCCCCCCCCCCACAGTCACAGAGCCCACATGCACAGAACCCACTGTCACAGAGCCCACAGGCACAGAGCCCACAGGCACAGATCCCACAGGCACAGAACCCACTGTCACACAGACTACAGGCACAGAGCCACTGTCACAGCCACCGTCACAGAGCCCGCATGCACAGAGCCACTGTCACAGCCACCGTCACAGAGCCCACAGGTACAGAACCCACTGTCACAAAGCCCACAGGTACAGAGCCCACAGGCCGAGAGCCCGCAGGCACAGAACTCACTGTCGCAGTGTCCACAGGCTCAGAGCCCCTGTTACAAGCCACCGTCACATAGCCTATATGCACACAGCTAACGTTACATATCTTACAGGCACGGAGCCACCGTCCCATAGCCCCTCGTGCTCCAGAGCTGTAAGGACTGAACAGATGAGAGGTTTCCTTGGTTGCCTGGTTTCTATTGAATCTGAGGGGGGTGGGACCATCTCAGTGCTGGCTTAAGCCCTTTTTGGGGTCCTAGACCCTTTTCCACAAATTCCCATGACACTCAGAAATTGGGGAGACAAACGTCATTGGGCACTGGAGGGAGCTTAGTAAGACCAACTGGGGAACCTCTGTCCCCAGCTCGGTTTCTTGGGGAGCCCTCCTGTACCTA